TGCTTCGATGATAGAAAGGTCGACTTTTCGGTGAAAAGCAGTGTCGGGCAGTGAATTGATGTGAAGGACATGCGGTGGGCGTGCTTCTCCATCCGTATATGTCTATCCTCGTCAGCCCCTTCGCCACGATTGCTTATACTTACTACTTCACTCGCGTACTCTCCTCGCGCATCATCTGCGAGCTCACCCGTACCCGACGTATGAATGAAGATCGTTTCCAAACCCTTCTCATGCCGCTTCTCCATTCCTCTCAACAGTGCATCCATCATCTTTTGATTATCCGACTCTGCACTCTCGATAGTGATATCATGAGTCTCGGCCAGCTCAGTGAGCAAATCGTACTCTGCGTGATCTCCTACAACGGCTTTGACAGTAGGTATAGCGTCGAGAGGTTTTACCTTTTCAGGACTACGAACTAGACATGTGATTTGAGAAGGTGGGTTAGGACTGTTCAATAATTGCTGGAGGTATGTTCCACCAACGTATCCCGTCACACCGGTCAAGAAGACAGTTTTGGCGTTTGACATTGTTGTTGAGAGACTTTATTTCTTTATTATGGATAGGAGGAGAGAGGGAGGGGAGAGGGAGGGGAGAGGGAGGGGAGAAGGGGATCTCATTGTGGCTCGCATATTGACCATATCCCAAAAGGTGGAGAACCTCCACCAAGAGCTGAATCATCAACATGGGATACCGTGGGAGATCATGAGGAAGTTGCAAGCTTTTTGCCACTTGAGCTTAATTCTTCCGACTGGAAGACTGGATAGTGTATAGATTATAGCTTATTCAATAGTATTCACAAAAATACGGCTTTCAATGCCTCGAGATCCGCTTACTTTCTGGCGGTCCAAGATAACTCCAACCTCTAGACGCTATTCCGCCCATATCAATCCAGATCCTTTCGACCACCACACCGGTAGTCATTCCCCAAAGAGTTAGATTATGAGCACCGGGAGTGATACCAGTGGTCATGTTCATCGGTACGGTCACGTTTCGTATCTCGGCAGCAACGACGTTGTTCCAGTCTGCTGGGGTAGATCCCAGTGACGCGAAAGGGACTGGATTGATCTGAAATGGCTTGTTATTGTCGAGCTGGAAACCGAAGGCCAGAAAGTCGCCGAGAAAGTAATTGAGAGCAGGTCCAACTTGAATCGTCACTTGAACAACGCCAGAGGATCCATTGATCGAGTCGACTGCCCAAAAGTCGTACGTTATCAATGGACCTTGACCGAGAGAAAAATTCCGATTGGTGACAGGCAACATCTCCATTCCACTCAATGTCCGACCATACCAATCAATCTCTTCCCAGTCATAGCCTTGTGCCGAGGCGTTGGACGTATAATGCGCAGCCTCTATCACCACGTAACCGTCACCCTCCACAAAACCACTCCAGTCAGATGGTGGGGAAGCTGTTTTGTTTACAGGGACAGTGACAATCATAGCTGCTCCATCGGATGCCGTGAAGTTGACAGTTCCAGCACCGGACCAGGGTGCGGCCGGCAGAGCCGACCAATCCACAGAGATGTACACTTTCGTATCGGCTGAACCGTCTTTCTTAATCCAGCCTGAATCCTGACTGACGCTAATCCACGAAACGTTCGGTGTGGCGGTAAAGCTGACATCCATCGGTCCACCCGAAGCGACCTCGACCCATCGAGAGCCAGCCCCGTATGGATCTAAGGGAAGTAGAGTTGGATCAGGGCAGCTATATCCTTGAGCACAATTATGTTGATTATCACCTGGCCAGGCCCCAAGCGAATTTTCTACTGTATATCTTGTGTAAGCCACTCCGCCAGGAAAAGATGGCTCGGATTGTTGGACGAATGATATTGGAGGGAGAGTATTCCGCATAGGTTGTTGCCAATATGCGTAGTTGATGTGCGGTTGAGCGAGCATGCTAGACAGAAGTAAACGACGAAGTGATGCAATTGAGACTAAGCTCACTATTTCCATTTTCCATTCTCAAGGCTATAGAACCATTCGGTGATATTATGATCAATACTGAAAGCGCTCATTGCGTCGTATGCCCAAATATTCGCAGAAGTTTTGAACTGACTTGCGTACAGATTTGATTTACCCACTACGGGCAGTCGTCAACTTGTGAAAAAAATCGATCCCGCTATAGGAGCTCACCAGATATATACAGGCGATTAAGATTGGCGTTCAGTGCTACTGGCGAGTAGACCAGCTCAAAAAACGCTGACTGTGTCTGGGAAGGAAGTGACTCGTATACGCATTTAGCGCGGTAGGCCAATGAGGTCCAGTTGGACAAGAGAGTCTCAGCTCTATGGGAATTAGTTCTTATTGATCTAGGAACTCACTCATCGTAATTGACCAGAGACCACAACGTCGAGTTGAGGAGCTCGGGTTTGATCCGTGAGACATACATCTATTTGTCATCAGTCTCTTGATTATAAGTTGCGCAGATCCCACGCACAGAATAAGTAGCCATGATATCCGCTACTTCCCACTTATTTGCCACACCAAATTCCCGCTCAGCCCAGCATGCCAACCAAGTGTGTAGCGAATTGATTGGCCATCGTGGCGAATCATACGCAATGGAAAGGAACCACTCGATAGGCAGTTCGAGCATCTTCATGTCACCAACGTTGAGGATCCAGATATCTGTAGTGTTGAAAGAGGTAGCAACGTTGAGCTGTTCCCACACTGAATCGTTTATTATCAGCACCTGTGGCTATGACTAAGAAGATGGCTAACTTTTAGCAAGAGGTACCTATCAGACTTTCAGTCCATATTCGAAATCGGTCTCATGGTTTGACTTACTGTGTTCAACCACTTGTAGTCACGGGGCGAACCAACGTCTGGACAGCCATCAGCTGATGATCTCAGGAGTAATTTAGACCTCACAGTCCGCGTGGTAGTAAATTCCGCCACCTGCGGTGTGGTTATCACCCCAGGGCAAAACAGCCATGAGGTTACCCCAATTATCATCTGCGAGCAGAATAGTGACTTGTTCTACTCAGCCAACGTTCTGAAACGACCATCTTGAGACGAGCTCACCATCATCAGGAACTGTCAAGCCATTGGCGAAATATCCCATGACCTCTTTGTACATTGCCCTGAAAGAGTCAGGTTGATCACGACTCCTGTTCCTTGTGACACTGGCACATACCACATCTGTGGTACCGTATTCAGATCCTCCGTCTCAAAGACTTTTCTCAAGATAGCCTGTTGTGCAGAGGTGATATCTGTTTGATCAGACCACAGGTTATTCTGGAATATATCGCACGTACTCTCCATAATGGGTATATTTGCTCCAGGTAGCGGAATGTCCCCGTTTCCTCTCATACCGACCGTGAACAAGGTATCGAGCCCCTTTGCACGTTCGGCTCCATATGTCCAAAACTCCGTAAGGAACTCTGAATTGGCGGTAAAGTTCCAGTCTCCATCTCCATAGGTACTCCACTCGGGCGTATTTCTCCCCATCGGTTCCTGATGCGATGTACCCATCACGATACCGTATTTATCTGCAAGTAGTTGATTTGGACCTGCGATTGGTTGTGAGGGAAGACCGCCGGTGACATCCAGACCGTCGACATCAAACATCGCTGCCCACACTACATTGATTAGAAGGATGATCTCACCCAGACACGAGTATTAGGGATGAACTTACTGGCTGGCCAAAAATAGTTTGCCTTTAGACGAAGAATGAGCTCGAATATCGGCTCATACATCCACGTTTGGAATGGTGGCGTCTCTTCATCCAGGTTGTAGTATGTTTTCGCCCAATTCCACAGAACAGGCTGTTCGTCATTGATGAAGACGCCTCGATATTTGACAGTCGGTTCACCATGCGAACAGGTCGAATCGCGTGAAAATGCAACGACGTCTTGGCTCGGCGTAGGGACGTCCGCCCACCAATACCATGGCGAGACACCCATCTGCTCGGACAGATCGTACATGCCGTATATGGTGCCTCTCTACACATGTTGTTGGCTCACACAAATCTGAAGGCTTACGGCTACGACTCACCTTGTCACTACCTGCAATGACCAGTGCTTCGGATACACCATCAAATGGGGAGCTCATCACACCAGAGTAATACGCCTCCCAATCTCCGTCCACTGTGGCCCCTGTCTTGGAAATCAGGCTACTTCCGACCGTCCCCACAAGGATCGCTTTGTCTGTCCCACTCGGCAAACTGTCATTATACAGATTAGGCCGAATATCCGTGACCCGTTGAATATCGTCCGCGAAGGTGCTAGCTGCAACATGAATCGCTGCGACATCTGACGAATCCAGTAGGATAGGTAATGCCCAACCGTCATTTTTGGAAGCGAGGACAAGGTCGGACCACGTAGACGTGATACACTTTGGTCCTCCCAGCGCTGACACTGACCCGGCAGCTAGTACTAGGATCAGAGTAGACTGCCAAACCATGATCTAGCAGATTGAGTGAGAAAGTTGCCAGTACATCGTGTTAGCCATCATGATTATAACCCAATCCCTCAGATTCGCTCGGTGAGATATCGGTAGAAGAGAGATCACCAGGACTTTGCACGAAAATCACTAGCGTCGGCGCACGACCGGCCCGGAACGGTGACTTCTCACATGATCTGCGGTGGGGAAGAAGAGGATGAGGTGAAGACGTTGAAAATCACATGCTGATGGACGGGACACCGTGGGGGCTTTGATATACCGAAACTTTGTCAAGCCGATTACACAAGTGCTATTCGGTTTGATTTCGGTCGAATGCTGCGAAGCAAGAGGTCAAGCGGAGAACTCGTCGGTCGGGATTGCAAGAATTTTGGCCCCTTTATAGCTTACACGAGCATGATCCGTCTTTATGACACTCAGGCAAAGCTAACGACGGTTCCTCAGAGTCAAGGAAGCAAAGGCTTACACTGTGCATTGAACTTGAACTACGTCTGGGAGAACTATAAGGAAGAAACCATTCATCTCATATGTATTAGGTTATAAACATGCCGCAGCTCGATCGATTACGATTTGTCCGGGATGGGCATTACCCGAATGGTTTATTCGGGGATGTATTTCAGTGGTAGAAAGCGACTTTAGCATTTCTCGTCTGAATAGTCGTAACCGGTGTTCGATTCACCGCATCTCCATTTTTTGACATTTTTACTGTCCAACTGAGCGTATTCTGTGTTTTATCAATCGTCTCGATAAAAGAAAACCGACACATCAACTCCAGCTGGCTGGCATATTGATCGAGCGCAGCGAATCAGTGGAGTTGACAGCAGCTGCATTGCAGACCACGGTTCTCGCTTTCATCTGAATATCATACAAAGCTGGAAGCGACTGCTACAAAATGCATCTTGACTGCGTCTATACACTAAGCTCCCGACTTCCAATAGCAAATATCTCCATCCTGGACCTCGTAGGGTTTGCCCTGTTGTCGAAGTTTGCCGGCCGCTTTGACCTGAGCTTCTGTCCCAAACTCTTTAAGATCGTCGTAGGCCATGATTTCACCGCAGACGAACTTGTTCTCAAAGTCGGAGCTGGGGTCAAACATCAGTGCTTCATCCTCTCGTAGTAGAATCGAGGTCACTCACTGAATCACGCCTGCTGCTGCTGGTGCCTTTGTACCTTTTCGGATTGTCCAGGCTCGCACTTCGTCAGGACCACCTGAAAGTCGCCAGAAGATCAGCTTCGGCGCGTGATGGCTGGGAGAGAGAGAGAGAGGTTGATTAAGTACTGACTGGTGAAATACCGAATAAGATCCAAGCTAGTATAACCGGCTGTAGTGATCTTGCCCAGAGCGCTTGGGTTGCCTTTTGGCAATCCAAGCTTCTCAGCTTCTTCTAGCTTCTCTTCTTCGGTCATGGAGACAAGACGTTCTTCAAGTGCGACGGAGAATGGGATGAGCGCATCGCCGGGGTTATGTTCGTCGATCCAGCCTTTGATCTTCGGCAGCCACTTGTTCTTTTTCCGCACAAAGTCGCGCTCGGAAAGGTTGACAAGGTAGGTGATAGGTTTGGCAGTGAGGAGGGTGAGTCCGTTGATCACTTCGACCTATACGCCGAGTCGTATGTTAGCAAGAGTTATTTATTAGACAAATTACAAGCAAGCGAGGGAAAATGGTAAGAGTCAGAAAAATGTAACTAGTGATCTCATTCTTGATTGGGCGTGACCCCACGTCAACGAGCTGGGTTAGATCGGGCAAGGCCCTTTCTCATCCGATAATGGCCAGTGGCCGAACAAGCAGTGTGGAGGAGATGGTCGAGGAAGCTCACCTCTTTGTTTGTCCAAGTCCCTTTCCGTACGTCCTTGTTGTCCTCTGTCAGGCACTTGAGAATCTTTTCAACTGTTGTCTGGACGAGTTAGTAACAGATTTCATTTCCAGGAGATGCAGGTCAAAAAATTACTCACGATTTCCTCCTTCCTTGCCTTATCCGCCAGACTGACACTACCCAAGTTTTTGCTGTTCTTCCTCAAGCCTTCCAAAGCCTTCTCGACCCACTCGATATCTTTCAACCTCAACTCGGTACTGATAATCTGCATATCACGTAAAGGGTCGACATCACCCTCGACGTGAATGACCTCTGCATCGTCGAACGCTCGAACGACCTGGAAGATACCATCTACTGCTCGAACGTGCGACAAGAAAGCGTTACCGAGACCTGCACCAGTGGATGCTCCGGCGGTCAAACCTGCAATGTCGATACAGGTCAGGAAGGCGGGGACTTTCGATACTGGTTTATAGAGCTCGCAGAGCCAGTCAAAGCGGGGGTCAGGAACGGGTATACGAGCCTCTTCAGGATCACTGAGAGGGTCAGCAAATGGTAAAAGCACGACATAAAGTCTGAAGAGCTCACATGGTAGCGTAAGGGAAGTTGGCAGCTTTGCCGAGATCGGTTTGGGAGAGTGTGTTGAAGAAACTGGATTTGCCGACGTTGGGGAGACCGACGATACCGATCTGAAGCGACGAATCAGCATGGTGTTCGGCAAAAAGTAGCTTAACCCAGGCAAGCAGAGCAGGGCAGGGTCCATCACATATATATTGAATGGCTTCGAAATATATACTGAATGGCATCGAAATGGAGATAGACCAGTCCAAGTGGCCATCTACTCACTTTCAAGTTGTTGCCTGGTCTTCCCAATCGGATCTTGGTGTCTTCTGCATTCTTCTTTTTAGGAGGCATCTTCTTACTTCGACCTTTGGCTAGTGAACGAGAGGTAGAGGCGAAACCAGCAGTATGCTGCGGGACGAAGGCTTGATACGCCTGGATGAGAAACGGTGGGGAGAAGAGGATAGAAGCTCGTGAGATTCGTGAGTGTGATTGTCTTCCCAGAGATACAAGAGGGAGACGAGGGGGCATACAATTTTGTTGGACAAAGAAGGGGATTTCAGACGAGTCCCGAGGAAATTCAAGAGATTCGTTCAGAAGACCGGCTCAGGCGCCTATCTGAGCAGTTTGGCAGTCTTTCGCGCCTAAAATCTCATTCACAATGCAGGCCTTTCCCGTGCTCACGTGCCTTTCTTACCTCCACATGGTGACTTGCCCATTTCCTATGGATTTCTTTTGAATCTTGCCTCTTGTCGAATCTGTGAACCTGCACAATGTCGACCGAGTCGAGACCACAGATCGATCCCAAGGTACTGCACAAGCTCTTCTGCGCAGCCTCAACATGTATGTTCGAGTCCTAACAGGCCTGGTACCACTAATACTGACTCGAGGTGTACAGATAGAGATAGAGCCTATGCTCCGTACTCTCACTTCAAGTGCGTACAATCGTCACTCACATGATGTTCCCTTCCCTCCTTAGTGATTCTAATATGAGTAGTGTTGGAGCCGCTCTTTTGACAACAACCGGTGAGATCATTGGAGGGTGCAATATCGAGAATGCAGCATACAGTGAGTTTTCAAAATTCCTTGCGAGAGTGATTGAATCGCCTTCGAGGCATTGGTTAACAAGTTACAGGTCCTGGAATTTGTGCCGAACGAACTGCCATTGCTAAAGCTGTGGTGAGTTATACTGATGCTACATTCAACACGAGTCTGAACCACTCTGACATGACCAAAACCAATAGTCGGAAGGTATAAAGACCTTTACAGCAGTAGCAGTGACTTCGTCAATCCCGAGTCCATCAACAACACCCTGTGGTGTCTGTCGTCAAGTGCTACGAGAGTTCCTTCCACCCCATATCCCAATATACATGCTTTCGTCAACCTATCCCTCATCGTCAGAGATGCCGCCCGATTGGCTCGTGAGACAAGATTGGAAGTCGGAGGAAGCCACCAAAGTGGTCGATGTCGAGTCTATGGAGAGTTTGTTGCCAAAGGCTTTTGGACCGAGTCATCTCGATCTGCCTCGTGATCCGTGATGCACCATAGTGATATGATCATCATGAGACACTCTCAGAGCGTCCGATACAAATTTAAACAATGTGATGAGAATCACACGATCTTTCAAGATAACCTCACCTGCATCGCACCTCTCGGCTCGTTTGTTGCCCTCTTCTCGTTGATGCCCAAAGTCAAGATTCTGAAGGATGGATCTCAATGCATCCTTCCCAAACGTATCGAGACGAAATATGCATAGCGCGCGCATATGCTGATGCTTTTCAGATATTAACTTCCTGTCATTTGCTGATCGTTTTGATCCTTTTCCCCGGCTATTTTATGCCCATGCTCGTGATTGCTCCCCTGAATGGCTCCTGCTTTGCCCCAAATAATAATGATTCGTAAAGTGTCGTACAGTCGTGATATCGTCTCTCATGTAGATCATACTCGCGTGGAAAGTCAGATATGCACAAGAGCGTCCTATTTTTTTTCTCTTCTTCCTCCGTTCATTCATCCTTCACCCCGAACGATTCGCCCCGTCTCCACTTGGCCGATAAACTTCCGTTTCCTCGCCCGTCCCACTACTGTTACCTCCATTCACGCTTCCACTCATCATGGACGTGGTATAGTACATCGGCACACTTTGCTCGCCATATGCCCCAGTCATCATCCCACCCATACTCATACCATAGTTGGCTACACGGCTTTGTATAGGCGTTGGCGGCGTGAATGGAACGTGCCCCACCTGTATTTGCCCCGCTTTGGAATGCTGCGGCGTAAACGGTGTATATTGTTGCAGAGGCATATGCTTTGGCGAGTCCGCCGTAGCACTTGATCTGGCGCTATGCATTGTCGAAGCCGGCTGCGGAGATGAATTTCCGTTCACGTCTAACGGCGGCATGGGATGCCATACAGGTTGAGGCAGCGTTCCCTGACCCTGCCCATGCATGACATAGGCCCGTCCATGAGTCGGGTCAGTCGCGCTGCGCCAATGGCCTCCCATAGGATTCATCTGAGCCAAGCCGAACGACTGTGCGAACCCAGCAATCGCCTCGGTAGTGGGGAAACTACCCTGGCCAGTCGATGGCGTCTGCAGCAGACTGTTTCCGGGGCTCGTGGTCTCGTCCTCGCTATCCCAGCGGCCTTGAGACTGCATTTGCGGCTGCACTGCAAGCATGGGGTTGAGTACGAGCCCCCGCGCCAGCATGGACGCTGACGAAAGACTCCGCGTTCGGGAATGTTGTGAAGCTGCGTGAACTGCAAGTGGCGAGTCTTGTTGCATGGATGCCATTAGCTGTGCGCCCTGATTCGCGGCTGCAGCACTCTCGTAGACCAGGGGCATGGCGGTCGCTGCTCCACGTAGATCTCGCCGACTAGGAGGGCGATGCGAAGCTGGAGTGAAAAAGGACTGGTCTGCTTGAGAGAGAGTCCGCTTCGGTGAGATGGGCGTGGAAGAGGAGTCGATGGCTGCTGACGAATGAGGCGGGGCCATGGACTGCGAATTATCAGTTCAGCCCTTGCTTTGCTCGAAGGCTGTCGAACTCACGCTCATATCGATGTCGCTCGGTGGCTGATTGATATGCACCGCGTCCAGACCTTTCGTTACCCTCCAACGGTCGTAAACGCCACCGAGTTCGCCCCTAATCTCATCCAGGTCATCCCCACCTAGGTTTAGTTTCCTAAGCATGCCGTGCAGACTTTCGTTTGCCTTAAGCGTTCCGATTACCAAATCTGCAAAGTATTCTGCTTGTGGACTGGGCTGACTCGCATGACGATATTGTGCGGGTAACGTGGGGACAGGAGGTGGTGTCGGTGAACGC